AGAGTCAGAGATGACACAGTGGCCTTTTTTAAACAGGATCTGCCACTGGCAACCCATGGTATACACACACGTTTGCACACCCATGGAGGAGTGCTGAGATTCAGAATGAGAGGAAAAAGGCAAGCACAAGCCCCTCTACTGTCTCAGATCCTGAATTTAAAAATTAGCCAAGAAAAAACTATTTTTTGGTATATTATTAAGTCAGTAGGTTAAAAAATTGAAACCACAACTCTAATAATGAATACTGATTCCTTCAAGCTATTGAATCACTCATTGTCAGGCATGGAAAAAAATTGCTATAATTTTTCATTTTTTAAGTGTGCATACTTCTAACACCATACTTTTTAGGTTGGTGAAATTTTAAAAGTTGTACTAGAATAGAATTTGAAGACATAAAATGACAAATTTCTGTAGGATAAAAGAAAACATATAAAGATAAAATATTCTCAAAATAATATCCCTAATAAACAAATGCTTTAACAAAGCAGGAAAAAAAAAACAAACAAACAACCCAACAGAAACATGGACAAAATATGTAAATTAGAAATACACTGAAGAAACACAAATAAAGACTGATGGTATCCAGGGCTGGTAGGAACATGGGAAATGAGGCACTCTCACTGCTGTGGGCAGGCACAATCAATACTTCTGAACCTTCTCCGCAACAAAAAGGAATCTAGGTACTATTCACACTCAAAGGAAGCCTCCTTTCTACTTATATTTCCACCACTTCTCTCTTTATCCTATGTTCAAGTCATATTATTGTGTAACATCCATATCACTTACTTCACGTCTATACCACTGAAACACCTTCCTCAAATTCCCCTGCAAAATCCTATCTTTCTAACCCCAGCTCAAACATTTCTTGCACCACTCTCTTCCAGGTAGAACTGACTTTTCATCTGTGATCCCTTAGCATTTAGTCCATTCCTCTAGTCCCACAGTTCAATCACCTTATAGTGCACAAAGGTGTTAATTTATAATATATAGAGAGTTCCTACTAATCAACAAAGGAAAAAATGGGAATAGAACAAAAGCAGAAAATTCACAGGAAGGAAAAAATAAATGGTTCTTAAACGTGGAAAGATATACAACCTCAATAATTAAAAAAAATACAATTTAAACCACAATGATACCATTTATTACCTACCAAACTAGCAACAATAAAAAATTTTGGCTATACTGTATATCAGAAAATAGGCATCTTAATACAACTTGCTGGTAAAGATATAAACTGGCAAGATCTCTATTAAGGTAATTTGGTATTACCTACCAAAATTATAAATGCGCACATCTGTTGACTCAAAAATTCTTTTTCTCAGAATTTATACTATAAAAGTATTCATAATACTTGACAAGATCTATGTTCATGGCTATTCACTGCAGTATCATTTGTAATAGCAAAAGATTGAAAGGGTAAATGTACATCAATAAGAAAATGGTTAAATTATGTTAAATTCATATAATGAAATATACCATGTTCACTGTAGCATTATTTCCAATAGCCAAGACATGGATGCAACCTAGGTATCAATCGATGGATAGATGGACATAGAAAATGTGGTATATACAGGGTAGGGCAAATGTAGGTTTACAGTTGTTTGTATGGGGAGTAATACAATAACTAATAATAATATAAGAATTCAACTCTGTGTTTCTCACACTCACAACTGTCAACCTACTTCCCCTCACCTCACCCTGTATACAATGGAATATTATTAGGCCATGAAAAAGGAAATCTTGCCAATTGCAACAACATGGATAGACCCTGAGGACATGCAAAGTGATGGAAGTCAGAACAAGACAAACACTATAGGATCTCACTTACATGTGGAAGTTAAAGAGAGAGGGGGAGAACAGACTAGTAGTTAGCAGAAGGATAAAGTGAGGGATAGGCAAAATGGGTGAAGATCATCAAACGGTACAAACTTCCAATTGTTAAATAAGTAGGTAATGGAGCTATAATGTATGGCATGATGAGTATAGTAAATAATACTGTATTGTATATTTTGAAAATTGCTAAGAGAGAAAAATATTAAAAGTTTTCATTTCAAGAAAAAATGTGTAACTCTGTATGGTAATAGACGTTAACTGGCCTTATTGTGGTCAATCTTTCACAATATATACAAATATCACACCATTATGCTGTACACCTGGAACTAGCATGTTATATGTCACTTATAATTAAAAAAAGGAATGACTATACAGTTCCATCTGAAACAATCTCCAAGATATGCGGTTAAGTTAAAAGCAAGCAAGAACAGAACAGAGTGTATAGGTAAATAGAGCTATTTTCCTCTACTCACAAGAATTATGACACCAAATGCATGGATTTTTTCCCACATCATCCAATTCTCTGATATCAGCAAGGTACCCTACAATTCAATACAGTTCTGACACTTTCTACCTGGTTTAGCATTAGATCCCACAAGTTACTGACTCAGTCCCTCAAAACTGCCCCCACTGCAGATGCCAATCACAAGGCCCACCCTCCAGTACTTCTGACCAATAGGCTATTTTTATAGTTTTTTTAAACTTTGTTATTCGAGTACAGTTTTCTCTTTTACCCCCATCCCAGCCCACCACCCCAGCCCTCCCCTGTTCCCTCCTGTTTCTGCCCCCCTCTCTGTTATTGTCCATTATACTTGTTCCTACAAACCCTTCCCCTTTCCCCTGATATTCGCCCCCCCCCCCCGTCACTGTCAGTTTGTTCTCAATTTCAGTGTTTTGGTTATATTTTGCTTGCTTGTTTTGTTGATTAGATTCCTGTTAAAGGTGAGATCATATGGTATTTGTCTTTCACTGCCTCACTTTTTTCATTTAACATAATACTCTCCAGTTCCATCCATGCTGTCAGAAATGGTAGGAGCTCCTTTTCTTTCTGCTACACAGAATTCCATTGTATAAATGTACCATAGTTTTTTGGTCTGTTAATTTACTGCTAGGCACCTAGGTTGCTTCCAACTCTTGGCTATGGTAAATTTTGCTGCTCTGAACATTGGGGTACATAGGTTCTTTTGGATTGGTATTTCAGGGTTCTTAGGATATAATCCTAGCAGTGAAATTGCCAGGTCAAAAGGCAGATCCATTTTTAGTTTTCTGAGAAAATTCCATACTGTTTTCCACAGTGGCTGCACTAGTCTGCAATCCCACCAACCGTGAACTAGGGTCCCCTTTTCTTCACAACCTCTCCAACACTTGTTGTTTGTTCCTTTGTTTATGATGGCCATTCTGACCAGTGTCAAGTGGTATCTCATTGTGGTTTTAATTTGCATCTCTCTGATAGCTACTGATACTGAACATCTTTTCATGTGTCTTTAGATCTTCTGTATGTCCTCCTTGGAGAAGTATCTGTTCAAGTCCTTTTCCCATTTTTTAATAGGGTGGGTTTAATTGGGTTGGGCTTCACTTCTTAGAGTGAAGTCATGTAAATTCTTTATATATTTTGGAGATTAAACCCTTGTCTGAGGTATCATTGGCAAATATGTTTTCCCATACGGTTGGTTCTCTTTTTATTTTAATACTGTTTTCTTTAGTCGTGCAGAAGCCTTTTATTTTGATGATATCCCATTTGTTTAGTCTTTCCTTTATCTCCCTTGCTCTAGGGGACATATCAGTGAGAATATTGCTGCGTGAAATATCTGAGATTTTCCTGCCTATGTTCTCCTCTAGGACTTTAATGGTGTCACGACTTACATTTAAATCTTTTTTCCACCTTGAATTTATTTTTGTGTATGGTGTAAGCTGGTGCTCGAGTTTCTTTTTTTTGCATGTAGCTGTCCAGCTCTCCCAACACCATTTGTTGAGGAGGCTATTTTTACTCCATTGTATTTGCCTGGCCCCTTTGTCAAATATTAATCGCGCAGACTTGGGTTCATTTCTAGGTTCTTTATTCTGTTCCATTGGTCTATGTACCTGTTTTTATGACAGTACCAGGCTGTTTTGATTACAGTGGCCTTGTAATACAGTTTGGTATCAAATATTGTGATCCCTCCTACTTTGCTCTTCTTTCTCAAAATTGCTGCAGCTATTTGGCAATCAATAGGCTATTAATTCAGGGTGTACCACAATCCCTTCCTCAGGTTTCATAAATTACTTGAATGGCTCACAGAACTCAGAGAAACACTTATTTAACATTTACCAGTTTATTATATAATAAGGGATATGATAAAAGATACAGATGAATAGCTAGATAAATGGGCGAGATCGAAAAGAGTCTCTAACACAACAGCTTCTGTCCCCACTGGGTTTTGGAGTGCCACTCTCTGACAGATGGATTGTGTTCACCAACTTAGAACCTCTCTGAATCCCATAGTTCAGAGATTTTTATGGAGGCTTCTTCATGTAAGCACAATCAATTATGAACTCAATCCATAGGCATTTTCCCCTCAGTGGAGGACTGAGAGTGGGGCTGAAAGTTCCAAGTTTCTAATCATGGTTTCAACCAGACCCAATTTAGGAGCACACCAAGAGTTGCTTTGTTACTAATAGTGTGCTCCTATCACCCAAGGAATTACAAGGGTTTTAGAAGATCTGTATCAGGAAATGGGTCAAAGACCCAATATTGGAACAAAAGATGCTTCTGACATCCCTATCACCCAGGAGATTTACAAAGGTTTTAGGAGCTCTATGTCAGGAACCGAGCAGAAACCGATGCAAATATTTATTATGTCACAAAATCCTAGCCCCAACACTTACTAGCTCTGTGACCTTGGGCAAGTATTACATAACTTATTGCTGCCCTGCTTTTTGTCTCTAACAGAGTTTCTAAATAAGGTTGCTGTAGCGACTAAATTCATAATTGAATGTCAGGGTTCAATAAATGTTAAGTATTATTATAATAAGTCATATCTTTAACTCAGGACTATAGTCAAAGAAGCAGAGATAACAGATTTTACAACTCTATGTCCCTGTATCTATTTATGGAACCAAGTATAATATTTTTTAATCAGAATTTTAAATGATAGCAAATAAAATAACTAAAAACAAAAAATACTTACTTCCTAGCAGCAGCAAAATGTCTACTGGGCACCTGAATGCCTGCAGAACAAGGATGAAGAGGTGTCTGATAGGCCATCTTAGAGATGCTACGCCTTTGATGTATCAAGACTTGAAAGAAAAATACATGTAAATTATTAATATTAAATAATTACACTCACAATTTTTAGTTTTAATCATTTTCCAGAACAAAAACATTCAACATTTTGCGAGTCTTAACCATTCTTTGAAAAGTGTAATAATGGACACTCCACTTCCAGAAACTAAAGCCAAGTAAACAAAACTAATTGAACAATTTTTTCTTCGCTTAGTTTTAACTTAATCTAGTTCAGGCTCAGAATATGTTAGCTATATTATTGCAGAATGTGTATCTTGAATGTTTTAAATAATTTAAATTTTCTTTTTTCATAAATAGATAATACATTCACAGAGTTGCTCAAGGTACTTCTGAAAGATAAGAACAAAATGAAGGGAACTAACTTACCAGGGATCAAGACTTGCTATAAAGTGATGGTAATTAATACACTATGGTATTGGCAAAGGTATAGAATGGCGAATTAATAAAAAGCAGGCCAACAAAAGATTCACGCACGTATAGATATCTGAAATGTGTAAAATGGGGGTGATGCTGACTCCACCTAAATCTAGCTTAATAACAATACGTTTCAGTGTGCTTCGAAAACACAAAATTTAAAAAGTAAAAAACATTGTACAAAAAAGGGGCTGTAAAATGCTGGGAAGAGTTGCTGCCAAGAAGTATGTCTGAAATAGCTGCCAAACTAAAAATGTTGATCCAAATCGACGACGTCTTTGGAAGTTTAATAATTGAAATCTCCTGCAACTGTGTAATACTCTGAAGCACTAGCAAGCACTTTTATAACATTAGTGTTTACAGTTGTGAGCCACACATATATACCACCTTTTCTTACCAGAGCTAACTTCACGTATCAAACCCACCCCTCGCCCCCAGTATCAGATAGAACCCTGTCCTTGCCTCTGTCCCTAAGGGTGGCTGAAGGAGAAACGATGCACATCCCCCTCCCATTCCAATCCTGGGGTGGACGGCTCCAGAAAGGAGACCTCTGAAAGGTCGCTTTTCAGTAGCAGTGACCCTTTGGAGACCTTAGAGCCCAAAAAGAGCAGGCAGCTTTTCCAGCTCCCAGTGCAGACCCGTGGGTAGGAGAGTCTAGCTTGCACTCTGCTGCAGCAGGAAACTCTGTGCCAGGAGTCTTTCCCCGTAAGCCCACACGACACCTTACTTTACCTCTACTGAGGTATCTTACGGGCGCCGCCATGTTGACTATTCCGGATTGTGTTGGTAAAATAAGTCCTACGCTTCAATTTGAAAGAAATTGTAACAGGGTTCCCTTCCGGAATTGGCAGAGGGGGAAGGGATTAAAAGGAGCAAGAAAGGGGCGGGAACAGAAAACAGTCTTTCTGGCCGACGTGGGAGGGCACTGGAAGCCGGCGCCCCGTGGCTGTGTTACCTTCAGTCCTCCGTGTGCCTAGGAAACTGAGTTTCATGGTTCCGAGAGGGCAGCCTAAACATCCTTACGGAAATCGGCTCTTTCTACATCCCAATCACTAACAAACTTTTTCTTAACTCAGCGCAAAATCAGCGGGGGTGTAAATTAATCTTAACATTAATCAGTACTACATTTTGCCCCTGCTGGCAAAAACTGTCATTAGGATCAACTGAATAATAATACTTAAATGTATATAACATATCTAGTTTTAATATGACAGAGCTGAGACCTACGCACAGGTGGTTCTGACTGAGAAAGTAGACAAGAATCAGCATCCTTTCCATTACGTCACAGCTATTGGTATGGTTTGTCTAAAACAAATCTGGTGACAGATTGTATCACTTCCCAGTTTAAATGAAACCCTCCGGTGACCACCTTTGGAGCAGCTTCTAGCCTCCGCCCACCGCCCCAGCTTCAAACCTCTAGCCAACATCCTCCCCTCCCCCACTCCCCCAGGGTTTCTCATCACCACACTGTCCATTCTGTCCCTTCTGTTTGGAATATCTTGTACCACGTCACCTAGGTAACCTTTTTTTTTTTTTAAAAAAAAAAAAAAGGTTTCAGCTCAGACTTTTCTCACTGAAGAAGCCTCCCTCCTTTCCTCCCCAAGCTGAGTTATAGCCATCCCTTCATAATTTTGTACAGTACCCAGAGCTTATATCTGGTTTTGTTTATTTTTAAACAGTTTTATTGAGATTTAATTTACATACCATAATATTCACCAATCTAAATTGTACAATTCAAACATTCAAAATTGTGCAACCATCACCACAATATATCTGTTTTTCCCACAAATCTGAGCTCACTGTGGGCAGGAATTATGCCTTATTCATTTTTTTAACCTTAGCACATTCTACAGTACCTGGAACATAGGAGGTTCTCAATAAATGTGTTTTGAATAAGTGAACATACACATCCATGAATTAGTAACTCACTTAGAATAGCAAGCCTGCAAAAACTAACTTGCTTCCATGAAGCTGCCTACAGGAACTCAGACTGGGCCAAAGTTAGGAATTTTACAAATGCTTTATTTCATATTTATGTATTATTCTTATCTACATGAAGAATAATATTTCTAACTTGTTTTCCTGTCTTGTTAACATGCAAGCAGTTACTACAAATGTTCCAAACCCATTTATGGATGTTATACCAAAAAACAAATTCTAACAACTTAAATCTACCCTTATTGTTTCCCTTTCTCCCTCATTCTTTCCCTTTCTTCTTTTCACAAACCAAAACAACCATTGCTCACACGATACTTAAAGATGAATTTCATTTGAGGATATACCAGAATTGGAGCAAGTTCACCAAATCCATTCAGACAAAAACAAACACCCAGAGGCACTGCTCCTTAGACTCTACATCCCTCCCTTTCTGTAGCTGGAGTCAGTTGGCCCCTATCTGTGTACTTCTTTATTTTTCCTGATAAAACGAGAGAATTTAAATATTTAACATTGGAACTCTTGTAGTATGCTTGTAGTAGTAGTAGCCTTATTAAAGCAATGTCCTGGAGAAGTACAGGTTATCTAATTGCCCATTTTGAACAGTAGAATTTCATGACTTTAGTCAGGTGGTGTCCAGAGTCCAGTTATCTATATATAACAATATTTAAAGAGATTATTTAGCTTGAGACTTACAAAAACTACAAAAATCCACCCTCTGAAATGGGAACTCTGAGCTGCTAAATATGTAATACATAATGTGGTTCTCATTGAAGAGAGGCAGCAGAACATTCTGGTTAAGCAGTGGCATTCTGAAGCTAAACTTCCTGGAACTGAAACCCAGTATCATCACTTACTAGTCATGTCACCTGGGGCAAGTTACTATACCTCTCTGAGCTTCAGATTCCTCATCTGTGATAGGGGACTAATAATGAGATCATTTATTAAGGTACTTATTACAGTATCCAGCACAGAATAAACACTCATTTAATATTAGATGTTGTTATTAGTAAGGAACCAGTGAGAGTTCTAAAGTAGAAAGGCAAAATGAATAAGCTGTTCTAGCCTAGTATCCCTTCTTCCAGTATTTCTTTATTTCTTAATGTGATACATGCTATTTTTGTCCACAAATGTGTCATGATGTCACTTTCTTTATATTAAAACTATTTGCAGAAAATCTTAGGGCTGTGCTTATGTACTTCCTGAAAGTTCACTTTAAAACAACTTTTACCAGTTGGTTTCTAGGGAGGCACACTTTCCAGGAGTCTTGGCAACATGCCAGCTGCCTGCCTGCTTAGCTAGGAAAAGCTTTTAAATGTTTGCCTAGACCTGTGCTTTTCTTGATCTGTGTTTTCTGTCTTCCTCAGCCATTTTCCAGTTGAGCTGAAAACTTCATTGCAAGAAGAGTCACTTCTCATTTGAGGTTAAGGTTTAAAGTGGGTTTTCTTATTGGATAAAAATAAGGAATTCCATAACACTTCCTACTTCAGTAGTGTGAATCAGAATCACCAAGGAGACCTGTTAAAACTCACTCCACAGAGTTTCTGATTCAGTAGGCCTAGGGCGGGCCCATGATTTTGCAATTATAAATAAGTTTTCAGGTGATGATGATGTACTGGTCCAGGGACCACACTTTAAATACCACTCCCTATGTAATACTATGAAATGTTTTCATCCATACTTACCAGTAACTTGGGGAGGAATTATTGTTTTGCTTAGTAATTTAATGGTCCATATACTATAGGCAGTAAAAATACGAATTTTTCCACATGGTGTCTTTAAAGCTCTTATCTTCTCCCCTATACAACAACTGCTACTCCACACCTGGATTTCAGCTCCGAAACGGTCCAGCTGTCAGCTGGCAAATTTCCAGTGTTTACCTGTCTGCCTATCTGGATTTCGAGTATTACCAAATCCTAGATTCCCTTCCTTTCTTGGGTTTACTTCAGACTCAGATTATTATTTTATAAAGAAATGACTATCTAGAATAGTGGTTTCTTAGTCATAAAGCATAAAGCGAAGTTTAGAAGGAATTGGAGCTCATTTTGTCTGTCCTCCTGCTCCCATATATAAGAGATACTCTGTTCAAATACCCCTGGGAGATTATTTTAATTCCAGATTGAATTGGGAGATTTAGAACTGTACAGTGGAATTGCTGGTAAATGTTTAACAGCTGGCTCCCAGTACAAAAGAACTGAATATGTAGCATTTGCCCATTTCCATGCTGTAAATATTCACACAACAGCTAATTTCAAGCTACCAAATACAAAATCAACTAACACAAAATTTCTGACAACTTAACACTTGGATCTCACATAGCTATAGCACACGGCTGGGAATTTGATGGTAAAAGCCTTTGGTAACTTTCAGAAGGACTAAACCAAATCAATTCATCCTAGACTCTAGGGCTACACTTCTCATTCTTATAAGTACCGCGAGCTAACCGATTGCACCACTGGAGCTCCTACACTTCTCATTCTAACTAGAGCTATTTATTCTTCTCAAACTTCACTGTGGATGCAGATCACCTGGGAAACTTACTAACATGTAGATTCTAATTCAGTAGGTCTGGGGTGGAGCCTTAGATTCTGATTTCTACCTGACTCTTAAGCAATGTTGATGCCACTGGTCCATGGGTCATACTTTAAGTAGCAGGATCCTTGAACACATCTTAGAGCAAAATTCATATTTTTTATCATTCATCCCAAACCAGAAACTTTTGAATACGCTCTTTCTTCCTCATACAAAAAATAAACTTAAGTGGATCCTCACATTTCTAGATATAACCTCCATAACCTCCAACTTTCAGTGGAGACACTAGAAATATCAATAATTTCCTTCCCTACCCTCATCTGCTTCTGGTAGAAACTTTCTTCTCCTACATAAGTAAAATCTCCCAGATCCAGCTGTTTGGATCAGTGGAAGCCACGGGACTCAAGGAAAGTCCATCCATTCTGTAGCCAGTGATCTGGGCTTGAAAAGAAAAGTTAGGCCAATTGTTCTCATGAAAATGGAATTGGGAAAAGGAAAGACTGGAAGTCCTAAATGAAAATTAAAGATAACATTTTCTTTTGTTGTGAGAGGACTCAAGCTGCAAGGTCATGGGATAGATTCAAGGCTAGAGAAGACCTGAAAGTTAAGCTGAAATTAATTAGCAAGCAGAAATGATGCATGAGTAGAGTTACATGAAGTTAGTCAGTACCAAGAATAGAATGGAGCGAGAATGTCAACAGCAGCAGAGATAGCATGAAGAAGAAAGAGATCGAACAGCCTCTGAGAGGAAGATAGCAGATGCTGCTTCAGTTCCTGTTACAGTTTCTGTCAAGTCTGATATATCACTGTCCCTCTTCCTGCCTCTTGTGAGATCCCCATCTACCATATATTTTTCCTACAATAACACCTGTTTTCTTGAGGTAATGCAAGTGAATTGTTATAGCTTATAAACAAACAAAAAACTAATTAGAATCACTGAATTCTAATTGTTCTGGTCTTAATGCATGAATTGGCAGCTTTCTGCCAGAATTGGTTGTAAATAAAGCCTTAATTACTGAATTTCAGTGTTTGAAAAGTTTTTGAAGGTCTTACACCTACCCCATGTATAGCGGTTTCCATAATTTCCTGCTTAAGTTGTTAGTGACAAACTCTTAAATATTCTGTAAGGTAGTTGCATCCATTTTGGACAACTCTAAATGTTAAAGCTGTTCCATAAGACATTAAAGCTGAAATCATCTTCTCTGTAACTTGGACCTAATTGAACCCTTTGGGTCAAATCCATTTTCACATGGCAGACTTCCTGGTAAAGACAACAGCTATCAAGCCCTTCAGTCTTTTTACTTGGCTGAGCGTGTTCTTGTCCTTACCCGTGCACAGTTGCACCCTTCCATGGCATGCTGAGGAGAACAACTCATCTTCCTGGGAGACTTACCAAG